ACTTGAAGGGCGCAACGTTGTCGAGAGCGCTGTTGAGAGAGCATTGGACCCACTTGGTTCCGAGTTCATAGTCTGAGGTTCCACGACTAAGCGCTTGGAATCATGGAACGGATGGAAAGCCTGGAATGGGACTCATTTTCACCCTGTTGATAGCCAATGGCATGCTGTTGGTTTAACAACCATCCCCAGGTCTGTGATAGACCATTTCTCTAGCCATATCTGTGATGGGCCTGATCGTGACTCCGCGAACGGATGAATTACGTTGGAAACGGGAGAAAAACCTTCATCAGAATAAATGAGGTTTAGAATCCGATTCAACCCGAATTCATTCTTGAACCCGAGGTGAAGAAATAGACGCCATCATGACCGACGAGCGGAAAAAATTTAGGATATCGAAAACGGTTTCGATCGAGATTCAATCTTTGGCGGCACGAAACGATGGGCCAACAATAACTGGGAGTGGGGGAAGTTGGCCCTACGTTGCTGTGGGCTGCCCAAGTAGGTCCCGAGGTATCGAGTGAAGCCCAAATTTGAATCATCCTTCAAATAATACTTAACAGCAATCCCTTTTTTTTATTGGTTAATCTGCTTAAGCAATTGAACTGAGAAATTCGAGTGTCTTCCTTTACGTTCTCTACGAAAATGGATCAAGTACCTTAAGAAAGGAACTGGGGTTTTAAACTAATGAATCATTCTCTGACGCCAGCGAAATAGTGGCTGCATAGTTGCCACCTCGCATCAAACGTATGAAGCTTTTTTGTAATACTGGCTATATACCTGCCACCTCGTTCATTCTGTTGGAAGCTTTGGTTCAAATAACTGAGATAGATGTCGCATCGTGAGTCATGACAAATGTTGCCTGCCGCCCTCGCGCCAATGAGGGACCAACACAGGCAGCCCACTCCGATATTGGCCCACATTTTCCCACTCGCAGCAAACGTGGGCCCAATGTATTGTTGTCCTGGGGTCATTAGAAGTATTGAGCTCACTAATGTTCTTCCTTAATGAATGCCTCTTGCTTCAAAAATCGTCTTGAGAATTCACGAATGCAAAAAAAGAATTCCATGTCTCTCAGTTTTCCTCATCACATCACCGCGAAGAGCATTGATGCATTAAGCAACAACTGAATCTTCATGATATCAGGAAAGACAAAGCTGAGAAGGTTCGTGACTAAAATGCGAAGATGGTTCAGAAAGAGTACGACAAGCCGAGAAGGATTCACGATCACCAGAACTGGAACCTTCAGGGAAAAGGAGAAGACCGCAGGTGAGAATAAAAAAAGCTGAGAAGGTTCGTGACTAAAATGCGAAGATGGTTCAGAAAGAGTACGACAAGCCGAGAAGGATTCACGATCACCAGAACTGGAACCTTCAGGGAAAAGGAGAAGACAGCAGGTGAGAATAAAACGTTGGAGGAGAGGAAGAAGACTACGACGACACGCAGGAAGGACTCGACCACGGACGAGGAGGAAGAAGAAGCCAGAATTAGGCAGGACGCCAGGCGGGAAAAGAGAGAAATTGAGCGAAGAAAGAAGGAGGAAGAACGAGAGACAAAGGAGAAAGAAGCGCCCGAACAAAGGAAGCAACGCCTTAGGAAAAATCTCCTTGATGCCATTGTAGCAAAGGAAGACCTCAGAGCAGATATCGAGGAATTATCCGCTACTTTGAAAAGCACGGCTAAAGAAATTCGTGGGATTCTCCAAGAAGACGAGCAGCTCCTCTTGACGAACGGCGCGGTGTCCCTGAATGTCACGTTGACGATATGAAGAAGTCATTTGACCTCCAAGGGTTGCGTCGAAGAGACGTGTCAATCTTTGCACATCTGCCCGAAATTTCCGTTCGGACTTTGCGCCGATGCTCTTTGCGAGAACGGTCACAGTATCAGCACGCGCCACAATCGCCACGTCCTGAAAGAATTGAATCTGGAAAACGTGGATCCTCAGGTGGTGAAGAACCTGATGGAACCGGACGTGGCGGGCCCTGACCTCTGTCGGGAATACAACGTCGGGCAAGTGTGCAGTCGTGGGGATGAATGCCTCAAGCTGCACATTTGTGCTGGCTACATCGCCGGGACTTGCGAAGAATGCAAGCTGAATCACGACGTCTTCGATCAGCAATGCAAGAAACTGCTGAAGCAAGCCAACGTCCATCTAAATCGATCGAGGAAGGAATTGCGGACTTTCTTCATGAAAAAATGCGATGTCGATCTGAAAGAAATCCTAAGGCAGAAGAATGAAGTCGATATCAGACCACAAATAATGGGAATGAAAAACACCCCACAACATCAAACATTGCCGATAGATTTTCGCGAAAAGGAGATAGAAGCCTATCATATTGGCGCACTCGTAAGAAATTTCTACGATTCAGGAGTGGAAAATCGCAATGAATCGAATGCATTCCAAGACAGCGGGATCACAGCGGTGATTTGCTTCTTCTACAGAGGCACCAATGGGAGGCAATCCATTTTGGATGGTCTGAGAAGTCCCCTGCCTCTGAACCGGCAACCATTCGTGGTAGCGCCTTCCCCTTATGAGTCCCCAGAGCAAGTGCAGATGCTGTTCGAATGCCAGAGTATCTTCCTTTATTACAAAAGGGCTCAGGGGATCCCAACATTAAAATACGTGGCAGCAGAAACGGTGGGAATGGAAGGTCTGTGCGAGATCGTATTGAGTGAGGCAGGAGGGGCTACACATCGAGTATTTATCCCTCCAGGAGAACCTTTCAACGTTCGAGTTCAGGTTTCGCCGAATGGAGGGGATTGCGAAGTGCATTGGAACTGGCCTGTTGTTGGAGGAAACTATGTCAACGGGTTTATCGTTTGGCATGCAGCTGACAGCGACGACTGGAAATTTATTCAGGTGGATTCCTCACCGGCCAGGATTCTCGGTCTTGTTCCGGGACAGACATACCGTTTCATGGTCAGTTTTTTCGGTACAGGTGAAGGCACATGCGTCACAAATATTTTAAATTTGCTGAAATTGATCTTTGCCACTTACGCAGGTGTGTGCCCTGAGTCGTATTGGAACTGGACCGCCGAGTCCGATTGTCACATCGGGCACCCCTCCAATCCAACATTTGAGTCAATACACTAGAAATCCCACTTCAGCATCAGTTCAACAAGTCTCCTTGGCCGACTTGGGGCAAGACCGAGGTGGGCTGGAATATGCGACCTCTGACGGCCAAGATGCAAGAAAGTTGGTGGCTGGAAGAATCGGTCCTCTTCGAAGACCTGCGGAGTATCTGAAGCAGAAGGCAACTCTCATTCGCCATGGATTGTATCAAGTCCCCATAGAGGACATAATGAGAGATCCAGATAAAAGGAGAGCCAAGTGTAGGCTGTCTTTCGACTCGACTCATGAAGTCATGGAAGAAAGAGTCATCATTCTCCTCGGGGCCTCTGGAGCAGGTGAGATTACTTTTACCAAACAGGTACTAAAATTCCAGGTAACTCATGAAGCCCTTCTCCATGACCAGGTAAGAGCACTCTGGTGAACGCATTCGTCAATAACTTCTATGGAGTGCAGTGGGAAGATCCCTTCCGGCTGGTCTTGATCCCAGACACCGAAAGTGGCAAGCCCAAGGCGAATAGTCAGACGTCCTGGATCACGGCGTACACACTCCCATGGCAGGAGGGATGCCGAGCGCCGTACAACCTCACCATCGTGGACACTCCTGGATTCGGAGACACGAGCGGATTAAATGGCAATTGTATCTTGAGGCAGCTTCATGGCTTCTTTTCCAAGAGTAAAGATAAAGGCCTAAATCATCTCGATGGGGTAGGCTTCGTGCTTCCAGCGTCCAATGCCAGACTGACCCCAACTGAAAAATATATCTTCCACTCCTTTGTTTCTGTCTTTGGGAAGGATATCGTCAATAACATATACTTGATGATCACATTCGCCGATTGGGAGATTCCGCCTGTTCTCGCGGGCTTCAAGGAAGGGAACATTCCCTTTGTGGAATTCTTCCGTTTTAATAACTTTGCATTGTTTGTATCCAATGAAGTGGAGCAATCTGAAGATTACCGGTTTGATGCCATGTATTGGCACCTGGGGTCAAAGAGTCTTTCCGATTTTTTCGCCAAGTTCCAGGAATCCAAACCAGTGAGTTTCCAGATGAGGAAGAACGTTCTGAAAGAGAGATGGGCTTTTTAGGCAATTATGGAAGGGATTCAGAATCGGATCGAAGATGGTTAGAATATTTATTTATTTCGTTTTCATAGCTTCAGTCAGTTTTCTCAATGTATTTGGGTTTCTCTCAGACAATAAACGGTAATCGACCATGCACTGAAGTTGAAAGGGACTTCAGCTTCAACTTGTTATTCTCTATTGCCAAAGTAATTCTAATAATTTTGTAAAAACTTATATGAAAGCAATTCCTTTGTGGCATTAACTAATGAAGAAAGTAGCTAAAAAGTGACGTTGGATTTTTAAGCGAAGTGATTATAGAATAGCGAGGATCGAAGTGACAGTCACGCAATTTACTCTCATTCACCACGGGATGCCAGCCACGATCGTAATGCAACTAATTTATTGCGATTAGTTACCATTAAAAGTTAAATTGTCCAAAGACGTAAAATAGCGCTCAACTACACTGAGTTGTTTTCCTTAACAAGTTTTTTTACAGCCGATTCAAGATGTAATTTTTTAGGAAAATTTTCTCATGTCTGAAAAAAAAAGTTTCTTCAACAACATTGGCTGTATTTAGGCAACTAATTTTTTCCATGGTTGCTATTGGTTAGGCAATGTCTAAGTAAATCATCTAGCTAAAAAAAATTGCATCCAGGAAAACTTATGGATAATTAGGATAACTACCATGATCGAAATTCTCCACCGGTGGGAGTTGCATCAGAAAACTCCCAAATGAAGCCTGGCTGGATGGAGAGGGCCAGAATCCTCTGGGAAATTCGGAACAGATTGGCGAAGGGAAATTTTATGGACGAAGAAATCCAGATGGTAGCAGAAATCGGAGTTCTCGAGACATCTGACATCTCAGCTGGCGAGCACGTTGAGAAAAATTCAATAATTTTTACTGAAAACGACTGAACGAGGGACGAGTTATTACTCTGGATGTATCAAGCTACGGAAATTTCTTGATCAATATCAATAAAATGCTGAGGAACGATTGGACTTGTTTTGCTCTCTGTGAACGCGTATTCGCGTCTTCTGTTTCTGACGCCTAGTGCTAATGTCGCGTATTCACGACAGTAATATAACTTTCAGTAGACGTGGTGCCATCTGTCAGCAGTAATTTAAAACTTTTGCTAGAATTTTCCGAAACATGCTTTTCGAGCAATAGGCATCGTTCTAACATTGAATAAGAAAGAATGTTAACTTTGTATGTCGTATTATCAGTCCAAATATCCCTTGTGTTTCATGCCAACCGTTAGTATTTTTTCTGCACTCCAACAAGGTTCGTTAAATAGGTCAATCTGCCAGAATGCATTTCGATCACGCGTCAAGCAAAATTTACTTTCAAAACCCCATGGAATGCCTCAAAGGTTCTCAAGTCGCTACTTGCCCGTGTGCACATCGCTTTTAAATTCAAAAAGTGGGGGAGGAGAGGTGGAAAATATGCACTTTTCCCCCATCTGGAAAAGTGAGGGGTTATTTGCCACACTCGCCCCTTCGGTTCCTCTAGCCTTTGGACCAAAAAGTTTCCAATAGGAATCTATAAGTATACATTAGGCTTCCAAAAGGATCATTAGGTTCCTATTAGAACGTCACATATCTGCACATCTGTCAGAGAAGTGGGGATACATAAAATATTCATAGAAAGACGCTTCTATAATTTCCCTACCCCCACTCTCTACCCAATCCCTATATCCGTCACTGTGTTGGGGGGAAGTGGGAGGACCCTGGTTAGACACGGATATTCAATCAGCAATATAAGAACGTTAAGTTTGAACCTCCCCAGCGTTATGGGGGCATTGCATCTAACATTACTTCAATATTTAAATGTCGCGTATCACAATATGGGAGGACCCTGGTTAGAAACGGATATTCAATCAGCAATATAAGAACGTTAAGTTTGAACCTCCCCAGCGTTATGGGGGCATTGCATCTAACATTACTTCAATATTTAAATGTCGCGTATCACAATACTCAGATGTTTGTGGAATTTCAACTCTGGCTGAACGTTGGGTCAACTTTGCAATGTCACTTATTGGAATTCTCACTTTCCAACCTTGTAGCACCAGATATTGCTCAATTCTGGGTCAACATTGGGCACATTGGCGATATGAAAAAAGTTGTAATGCTCCACCTGTAAACAGTGTAACGGGACTATACAAAGCTCAGAGAATAGTCCAGAAACCAAAATCAAGACAATCTTCTCAACACTTACTATATGTTCACTATCAAGAGTTCAAGAGTTTATGAATCTTATATTTTTTTTTACCGGAATACACGGATCGTACTTTCTCCCTTTGTAAACGGTGGAGCTTTTTTGTGTATCACCCTCCGTCACCCGGTCAACTGCAGCGCCCTCTATCGGGATACAGCCCCATCTTGAGGAACTGAAAAAAAACCTTTTAGACTCATGAACCTCTCTGTCAAGAATCAGCAGGATCCGACTGTCCCTTGAAAAGTTAAAGTCTTAAAGGTTCATTGAATCATGAGACATTTGATCATAGACAATCACAGATGAGATGAAATGATCCACCTCAAAGATCCTTTAATTCACCTCTAAATGAGCATCGCACGAATTTGGCAGGGGTGCTGAAAAAAAAGCTGGCAAGTATTTCACCACCTTGTACCTATCAAAGATCGATCGCGTATCGAATTTTATTTTTTTTGCTACACTCATCAAACTGTTTCACACATAGGAAGCGGAAGAGCGTTTCTTTTTAACCACTCTATATTCTTTAAAACGACAAGGTAACTGCGACACAATCGCCTAGGAGAAACTTCATATCTTACCAAGAAAGCGTGGATTCCCGGTCATTTTCGCCATTAGTCAAAAAGCAACCTGATCCGACAGACATATAAGAAACACTGGAGATTCGGCTCCGAGATGAGAGGGTAAACGATGCGATCTTTTGTTTGGGATACGCGTTGTGCGCTGCGCTAGCGTGATATGGCACGTGAAAAGGGGCAGGGAACTCTCCCTCGGAACATGACAACGTCCAGGAGAGCGAAGGAATTGCCTTGTCGATCGCTTTGCAAAGTGTGCGTGGGAGCCATGGGGCTTTAAAAAAAAAAAAGCTCTGACAACTGTGATAACTTTGAAAAGCGCTGTCTATCCTAAGATAAAGGACGCGGAAACACAGCAACAGTTTATCGTTCTTCGTCGCCATTATTCATCGAGCCCAAAGATCCTTCAGAGGCATTCGTCATTTCGGTTAGAAGGTATGTTCATTTTCTCCCTATTCTTTTCATCGCGCTTCCATCAAAGATCGTGTGAAACTATGGCTGTGAAGCGGAACGGGGAATCTTCACGACGTCGAAAGATATATGGGTTTCGGTCATCAAATTAAAGTCCCCTCGTAAATTGGGCGTTTACCTTTCATCACAGGTCCCCATTAAAGACTTGTCTTCACGTCATCTCATGGCATCGTCCATGAGGTTGCACCGGACGATGTCATCATCCATCCCGCTGCTTATCTAAACGTCAATTTTCAGAACCCTTGCGAAAATGTCTCATAGGATTCCTATATATTCCTTTACTATTGATAATATATAGGAATCCTATAGGAACCTAAAGGAATCCTATAGGATTCTATATGCCCCATAGAGTTCAGTTTGGGAACTATAGAGTTCCCTATAGAACCTATGATCCCCTTATAGAACCTATAGAGTTTCCTGTAGAACCTATAGATCACCCTATGGAACCTATAGGGTTCCCTATAGAACCAATAAGGTTCCCCGTAAGGCCAATAAATTCCCTATAGGACACAAAGGGTTTTGTATAGGACCCGTAGGGTTCCCTATGAAACCAATAGGGCTCCCTATGGGACCTGTAGGGTTCGCTATAGGACCTATAGGATTCTCTAAAGGACCTGTAGGGTTCCCTATAGAGCCTATTCGGAACCTTATAGGACCTATAGGACCTATAGGGTTCCCTATAGGTCTCATACGGAATCCTATAGGCCTATAGGGTTCGGTTTGAAGTTCTCCTCTAGGCCACTAGATGGAAGTATTGGGTTCTAACATTTCTCAAAGGACACAAAAGTGCCCTCCCTTTACCCAAGGAATCATCTCTCACAAGAGAGTTTTGTACGTCCCCAAATGCCTCGCCTTGCCTCATTGTAGCAATCAATAAACTTCGACAGTTCCTTATTTGTCATCCCCATTTTCATTTTGTACGTCCCAAATGCCTCGCCTTGCCTCATTGTAGCAATGAATAAACTTCGACAGTTCCTTATTTGTCATCCCCATTTTCCAGATATAATCATGGAGTCCCGTGAAGAAATATGCCCTTATTCCTTTTGAAAACAACGTACGAAACTGAGAGAATTCTATCCAAAAGGAGTTTTAGTAAAGAGACGTGCTCGCAGGTTCTGTCTTCTATTTCCTTAGGTCGAGAGGAATGCTACTTCTTCCTACCGAAAGAAGTAGACGTGCAATCCAGCGACACATGTGCGGCAGGGCCATAAATTATGCAGACCCCCGCATTACTGGTATTAATAATGCATGTGTCCCTATCACGGAAAAGCTCCTAATCGGTTTTTAATTTACACCGAAATGCTGCGCCATTATTAACGCCTGTCGCCCTTTCCGTCGTAATGCCTGGGTTTCGAAACCCAAAATATACTCCCTGAATCCTATAGGTCAGGAGTCCTATGAGACAATATAGGGATCCTATAGGTTTTTCGTGTATCAACAACCTATAGGAAAGTCTATAGGTTTCCTATAAGAAATATCTATAGGTTTCCTATAGGACATTTCCGTAAGGGAAGATACAGCCGCTCCCCCAAGGAGCGAGAACGAGATAGAGACACCATGCATTATCCTCACAGATTCCCATCGACGACAGACTAGAACAAGGAAAGTGCACCCCAACCCATCGGGGGTGCGCCAATACACTACCTAGGCCCTCCATTCCCCCTCGATCCCGCTCAGCAACGAGCATGGCCCCACCAGCTTCGACCACACAAACCAATTCCTCTTCAAATGGGACACATTCCGGGAGCGAATGACACTTATTCCTCTCA